ACCAATGTTTGTTTTTGTATTTGTTTTCCTGGTACTCATAATTCATCCCACGAGAGGGGTCGATCTAAGTGTCGCCACGTGGGGTGACGCCCATTCCCACGTGGAAGGCTGCATACCGCGGGATGCGCCTGGTGTCCTGCGGGGGGCCGCTAGAGACCGGTGCACTCACCGGCCACGTATCCACAGTGTTAGTGCAAGGCGGATACGCGCCCTTCGCCGCGCGCCATAGCTTGAGCAAGGGATTTATTATAGAGGTTTATCTCCTCGCGGCCCAGCCGGTTAAGGCAAGAGCCCTGGCCGGTCTGTGGCGCGTACCACCGGGACAGAGGGTTATTAGGCCCCCTGGCCCGGTGGGTCGTTGCTAACGACAGCCGGTTACGGTATGCGAGTGCTCGGGAACCCCGGGAGCGCAAAATCCCGAACCGCCATCTATCGGCGGCCCCTGGGGGGTCACCGTTGCAACAACGGGGACGGGCCTCCGACTATCCCTCCCCGCGCGATTTACATCTACCCCACCCCGCAAAGTTAAAAGCGAGACGGGGGCACTACGCGGGACGCTCGGGAGTCGCGGGGGGGTAGCAGGTGTTACGCTACTCACCGAGGATTCTCCGGAGCACCTTGCTCCAGGCCGATGCGCAATATTGTGCGCAGCGCTATTGTTGTTGTTGTTGCTGCTGCTGCTGCTGCCCGGTGGCGGCCGGACAAGGGACTTATCCCGCGGTGGTTGGGCGGGCGGAGGCGTCGTCCTCTTCGCTGGCGGCAGCGGCTGCGCCTCCTCGTCGGACGACGAGCTTGACGACAGGATCCCGCGGTGGTGGCGTCGGCGGGATCCAGCGGCGATACGCCACGGCTCCGGTGATGATTCTGGGGTTACGGCTGCCCCGGCCGGCTGCGGCACCTCCACCTCTTCGATCGATGGGAGGAGTGGGGCCGCTGGTGATGGTGGACGCGGCCTGGCCACCATCGCTCCTCCCACAATAGGCAGGGGGGTCACTATCGGCCACCCGCTGCAGGTGGTGGTAACGGTGGAGGCGCACAACGACACCATACTCGCCGATGTTACCGTAGACGGAGCCCCCTGCTCGCCGCGGATGGTCGGCGGAGTCCTGGGGCTCCGGTGCTTCCTCGGTGGGGGCTGCGCTTGGTGGTGGTGGTGATGGCCCGGGCGGTGTATGGGTGGCCCGGGTTGCTGGATGCAGCCCCCTTTCCGGCACGACGTCAATCGGCGAGGGAGGTGACGTGTGGGAAGGGGCGCCCGCTGTGACGGCGGCGTATGATGGCGAAGCCGCCGTCATACCCCCGAGGGTTTCCGTAGGGCAGGCCTTGGTGGTGTGGGGCCGCTGGAGGGTCTCTTCCTTCCCTCCACCGCCCTGGGTGATGGTGTGTGGGCGGTGGGAGTCCCTTCTACTCTCGGGGGCGTTCTTCTGGCTCCGGACGGAGCCGCTACCGTCCTCCGGGTGGTGGTGGTGGCAGTTCTTCTGCCCACCTCCACCGGGACTTTGGCACCCCTCATACCCCGCGTCAGCCGCCCTTGGGTGGTGATAGGCGGGCTCCTGACGGGCGGGGTTCTTGCGGGAGGGGTGCCATTCGACCCCCTGGTAGCGGGGGCCGCTCTTCTGCCCGGTGGGGTGGGCCTCGATGTGATAGCGGCTAAGGGACCGGAGCCTCTCCTCGTAGCAGGCGCCCTTGCAGCCGGCGGCGATGTCCTTGGGGCAGCCGACCCCGATCGCCGCGGCGGGCTGCCGCTCTTATGGACCGGTGGCGTCCCCTTAGGTCTGGGGTAGGTTGGTTGGTTGGGGGGCGGGGGCGCGGGCCGGGCACTGGTGGTGGGCCCGATGGTTATTGTTAACGTTGGGGTGCCGGACGGCGGCGTGCGATGCGACGTCGTCATAGCCGTCGCAGCCGCCGTTACCAGCACCCCACGCAACGATGTTTGTTTCGTGGCCCGCGCCTTGCCCCCCGACGCCACCGGTCTCGTTGTCGTCGTCTTCGTCGTCGTCCTCCTGGTCCTCATTGTTGTCCCCGTGGTTGTTCCTGTCGTTGTTGCCGTTGTTGATGCCGCTGCCGCCCTTGTGCGCCGCGTCGTGCAGGTGGTGGTGGCCGTCCCCGTTGGATTCCGCGCCGATGAAGGGGTGTGGGTGGGCGGAGGCGGGGGCGGCGACGTCGCGGCGCACGTCGTTTGCGGTGGCGGGGACTGAGCCGCCAAATTGGCAGCAGCAATCGCAGCAGCGCGCGGTTCTGCGGGGGCAGATGTCGCGGAACTCCCCCGACGCGAGGTGTTGCTCGGACCGGTCGCGCCCGTCACGGGAGGTGCACAAGTCCCACTCGGACTGTTCTGTTGAACGGAACTATGGATATGGCCGTGGTGCAGCTTCACCACCTTGAGTGGATATCTCCCGTTGCCGGTGAAGCTGCACTCACGGCACTTATACGTTACTACAACGCCCGGATGATACTTCCGGGCGTGCTTCGTCAAGTCCGAGTGGGACCTGTACACGCCACTGATCCTGATTCCGGGGACACCGAAGAAGGCAGGGCATCGAAACTCCGCCGGGAAGGGAAACTCTATCACCAGGGCGAGATTGTTACTCCCCTCGGTAGTGCAGCAGGTGATCGTCGCACTATCACCGCGGTCCTGCATCGCTCTTAAGACTAAGTCCGACGCTACGAGTGAGTCGAAAGAAGAAAGAGACAGAGTAGCTGTGGCAAATATTTCTAAGTGCCACAGCGAGGCGAAACGGGGAAGATAGACTAAGTGGGAATGACAGAGGAAGAGAAGAGAAAACTAAGTTAAAAGCGATAGTAGGAATACCGCCACGCGCTAACACCCTACTGACTCCGCCGGCGCT